AAACTGTGGGCTGATGCATGCTGTGCCAGTTCATCTAGAAGGTAGATGTGAGAGTGAAATCTTACCTTTTCAGCAGCATTTCAGTCTTCATTCTGAAATAAATGTACACGCCTCGGTAGATGAAGCATTGCATTTTTCATCATAAAACAAATGAGAAATAATAGGTTACTAAGGAGCAATTCTGTTTTTGTTACACGTTTTAGCCCTTCCTTCTATCCTTATAGAAGTCAGCCTCCCTACGGTAAAAACAGTGAAGGCGTACATTGACAGCAAGATACTGATCAGATTGAGAACAGATTAGATTGAAAATCTGCTCAAGTATAATAATTGTTCTGGTAATAATGGCATAAAATAGCTTCAGAGAGGAGCTATGTGAAAAAGCAAAACACTGTGGTGAGGGAGCAGGCTTGTGTCACTGGAAGGATGATGTTAATGGACTTGATTCAGAGAATAGTGTTCTATGTGCCATGGCTTCTTAGTGCCTTGGTACTGAAGTAGAGAAGATGGATGTGAAAGCTGAGTTTGCTCAGTGATGTAAATAGCCAGATTAGCCTGCCAAGAAGAAGATGGATGCATTTGCTGAGCTTCCTCTTATTGGGTTTTCCATCACAGTGTGTGCTTGAGCTAGAAGATGTGTGAAAGACCCAGGTGACATTGTAGAGGAGACAATTGCGTTTATTGCTGTGATGTAAAAGTGTTGGAAATGTCTCCAGATGGATGGCAAGACTTCAGCTAAAGCTATGAGTTGTCAGTGAGTATATATGCTGGCTCCTGTAGAATCAGAGTTTGTTGATGCTCCACCTCTGCAGGTGTTCAAGACAAGCTTGGATGGGGCCCTGGGCATCTTCATCTTAGTACCAGGTCTGGAGGTTAGTGGCCCAGCCTGTGGCAGGGGGTTGGAACTTGATGGTTCTTGGGTCCCTTCCAACCCAAGCCCCTCCTGTGATACAATTCTGTGAGGGTAATTAATTTACCTTCCATACCTTTGTGCTTTATTGAAGAGTGACGCAACTAATTTCTTAGGCTGTAGGTGGGAAGGAGAAGTGTTGAGTGTTTAGCAGATCCTGAGAGGGGGGGGAAAGAGCAAACCATGCAGAGAGGGTTGTGAGGAGACATTTTTGAACAGCCCCTGATGCTCAAATGAGCTCGGGCAGTGGATGGAGTGCGCTGTGTACATCCGTGATGAGTAAATGGCTCCTGACCCATCAGGCACACCTGGAAAAACTTCGCTTCCTGCCCAGCTGAACTCAGTGGCTCAAGGTTAGGCAAAACATTAGTGATGTCTTCATCTTTTCAACATTTAATTGCTTTGTGTTGGAGCCTATTGAGGTCTGGGAGACAGCAAAGCATCACAAGTAGCACAAAAACAGCTTCTGTTGTTTTTTTGTTTTTTGGGGGTTTTTTTGTTATTTTTCCAGCCAAGGATCTGGTCCCTTGGTCAGCATAGAGCCTGTATGTAGTAGAGAGCTGATGTTAAGCTCAGTGTCCACATTTCCTCAGTTGTTCTGGTGTTTCTGCTTTGATTTTGTATGGAGTGCACTCCACGCTGCTCGTCACTCTGCCTTGCGGTGCATACTGAGGGCTAGCACTGTGCACCTCGACCTTTCCTTGGGGATCTAGCCCTGCTGCCAAGGAGTTAAACTCAATTGCTTTGAGTAATGGAAAGCATGTTTATTAACAACGTTCTATTTAAAATACAAAGCAAATGCAGTGATTATAAGAGGTGTTGGATGTCTGGGTCTGAGAATTACTTTTTCCATTCAGAGCCTGAGCAGATGCAGGGCAGCCTTCCCCGGCTGTGGGGGGTTTCTCTGCTCCCACTCTCAGGGAATGGTGGTCCTGCTTGTGTTGGGCACTCTTTCCTCAGGGAGGGGGAAATACAAGGGAAAAAAAAAAATAAAAATCAGAAATAGAGAGCTTTTTTGAGGAGGTTCCCCCCCAGGATCAGAGCTCTGAGCAATGCAGAGGTTACTAGCATAGGGGCAGTGGGTTTAAACAAGTGAAACTTTAAAATGGTTTGAAGTATCACAGGTTACTCAGCTCACCTACAGACAGGGCACCTGAACATTTTATTGGCGATCTTTGTTTATTCATTTCCAAGTTGTGCTTTCAGGTTGGATACCTTTTGAGATGGGATTTATCAGTGGAATTAAAAACTTCTGAGAGGGAGATCTGGAGTTTTTGTTTCAATTAAAACCTTTTTGCCTTAAACCATCTCATTTCTATGCTTTCAAAAGAAAGCATTTCTGGTTGATATTGTTTTTGTTGAACGGCAGCTTCTGGTGGAAGCTGTAACTTGGTGAAAGAGGCTAGTATTGAAGAGCTGGTCTTTATAAGTGATTGAATTGCTAAGATGACTCCCAAAATGTTGTCTTACCGGGATATGATTTATTTTTTTTTTTAGTAGATATTTGTCTCTCTGTGTGTGGGTTTTTAACAATGGGTGGCTTACATCTGCTTATTTCTGCACAGAAGCTGTCCCATTCTGTTGGTAGCATGGAATTGCACTTAAGCTTACATGTTAACCAAAGCTGTGATTTTAGAGAGGAAAGATGGAAATACTGGTCTTTCAGGCTGTTTCCAGCCCTGGGCTGGTGATGTGACTGTACGTTGGTGTCGTGTGGTGAAGAAGTGTCAGAATGAGACAGTGCACGTGGAGAAACGTTGTTTGGGTTTTTGTTTGTTTGCTTTCCCAGCAACTGAGATCCGTGGTTTTCTTGGAAAGAGAAACCACACGGAGCATGTATGTGCAATATGGCGAGAAGAACAGGGTGTCTAGCAGTCCTTAGAGAAACATCCTCAAGGCTGAGGCCCTATAAATAACTTGGTTCATGCATCTTCCTTGCCTTCTTAGGACAAAGTTAAGCAATGACCCTCCATTTACCTTCTATCAAAGCCTTTTTTCCCCGCCATGCATGAAGTAAGCACCTGTAAGCTACCTCCTGGCATGGGTCTCTGGGCAGGGCATAGCTGTAAGACTTGCTTGGCCCTGTCTGTCAGCGTACAGGAGATTTTTTTGGGGGGAAGCCTTGCAAAAGAGGCAGCTGCTGCTCCACTGGCTGTGCTGTGGCTTATTCTCATGCCAGCTGCCCCTGGTGCACCTGTTGGTGCTTGAATGATGGAGCTGTTGTGCGCTGTAACTTAATAAGGCTAAGTCAGATTTTAATAGAACAAACTGACCCTCAGATAGAGGGCTAAGGCAGTTTGACAAATGCTTAAGGAAAGGAGCAAGGAGCTACGATTAAGGGCAGGGATGTGCAGGTGACAGTGGAGCCCTGGGGGCTGGTTACTCCATGGACATTGGGTGCTCTCCACATGGCCCAGGGAACGGCAGCCACGATGTTGGTTCCCCCCATGCAGAGCCTTTGTTTGTCTCTTTCCTAATCACTTGTTCTAGTTGTTCATGAAACTCTAAATAAAGCTGGTTGAGGGGATCCCTTCCCAATGGCGCTGCGGGCCTGCTGTTGTAGTACTAAAGAGTCTTTGCCAGGAAGAGTGGCTCAGTGTGGCTCCCTGAGGCAGGGTCACCATGGCTGCTGTCGGGTCTGCCTGTGCACTGGGGTAGGTGCTATGCTAGGGGCCCTTCTGATGCCAGCTCCAGGTGGCCTTCTCCCCAAAAGCACGTTGGTGCTGATATCTGTGCCAGCTTCCTATTCCTCCTCCCAGTCCCCCAGTAAAGCACTTTTCATCCATATTAAGCAGTGACCTCTTGAAGATGTTCAAATATATATATTTTTTTCAAATAAGACTTTATTTTGTGAAGTACAACATACAGAAATAAATTAAGTGCTTGTTTGAGTAGGTTTGAATCGGTTTAGAGGGGATAAAAAAGACTTTATAGCCTCGAAGTGACAACAGGGATTTATTGATGCTTTATTTTTCCAAAGGTTTACATTCTTTCATGGGAAACAACATGGAAAGAGATGCTTGGGATTTGTGAATGCTGGATGGCGGCAGATTTTTCCATCCAACTCTTCTTGGAGAAAGTTCAGTTTTTGGAAGTGACCTAGAGGCAATGCCTGCGGATGCACTGGTAAAAATAAAAAAAGAAAAGTAGAGGGTTTGGAGGCATATTGTCCAGTCCTTTCAATTTCCATGTTGATGATAACTGCCAGAGCAAGAATTTCACTCAGGCAGATCTCAGGAGTCATCTGGTCTTTCTGAATTGGGCTTGTTCTAGGGACGAATGGGAGAGTACAATTAGAAATCACCTTTGGCTGAGGAAACACTGCAAAATGACAAATGGTGCTCTTAATTTTGCTTTTGAGATGTCTGTTGAGTTGTGTGCGAGTTGGAATTCTCTCCCAACATAGCATAACATAGGTCAAAGGAGCCCACATACCCACGGTATCTTGTTGCATTTTAAAGGGAAGTGTTGAGCTGTTCTGCTGACAAATCAGAAGCATATCAAGGTTGCGGGTTGTGTTGTTTCTCTTATTGCTTTTTTTTCCCCTCTGCTTGTAGAAATACTGCCAAATCCGAGCCTTCTTTTGGCTATTGGCTGTGACTCTTAGAATACTTTCTAAAGATAATTACTTCATTTCTTTTGGAGACCTGTTCTCAGTTGTTCACAAAAGTAGTCAGGCTGTTCTTTCCATAATAAGCTTTGAATTAGCAGAAGGTGTTGCTTGGATTTGTTTTTCTGATTGTGTCTCAAGGTGTCAACTTGCATAGTGTAGGCTCTCCTCTTGTATGACAACAGAAATCTAGAATGATATTTAAGCTCAAGTATTTTCGTGTTCACAGGTGAACTGAGCCTTTTTTCATGATCTGGCTGTTGGAAAAATCCACAAAATGCCACCTGAGTTTCTGACCAGTTGTAGGGCTGGGAATAAGACCAGGGATCTGCTTTCCTGTGCTGTTTTTTCTCTTGGACAGCAGTTTAATTTTATCGTTGGTGAGACAGTGTCATGCTTTCATAACCTATGTCTGGCCATGGGCAAGAAGAAGCCTTTAAGCGTAGCGAAGAGACAAGGTTAAGCATGCAAATGGGAACATACCGTTTGTTATCTGGGGGTGTCCACTTAGACAGACATGATGTGCTTTACAAATGCTGTGGAAAAATAAAGATGTGATAGTTAGAAGGAGCAGCAAATACATTACTTCAGGAGACACCTTCAAAAGCAAGAGCTGCTGAGGAGCTCATGGTGTTGAAAAGGAGCTCTTCTGATCAGGTTTAACTCCGTAACGTGATAGGAAGTTTGAAGTGCTTAGTACTGTTCAAACTAAATTCTCTTCCTGCTTGGATGTGATGAGACTAAATGTCAAATGGAACACTTTGCCCAAGCATTAGCTGAGGGCTAGTTTACTGCCAAGTACAGCAGCTTTTCTACAGAATGTCAGTCTAGAGACCCAGGGCTAACAACAGTAGTCTTCTCCTCTGTGGCTGAACCTAGCCTTTCCTGTGATGTGACTGCTGGCTAAGCACTTCATTTTAACACATAAACCTTTCAATGTAACTCAGCTATAGCATCGCCCACCCAATTTGCCAGAGAAATTAAGAGCCAACTGCAATGAACCTCAGGGATGAAAAGTAGGATGAGAGGATGTTGAACCCCCACATGTGCACGTACCCTCGTAGTTGATGCAGCCGTTGGAGTCTTCCTGACCTTTCATCAGTTCATCTACTTCCTCTTCTGTCATCTTCTCACCTGCAGAATGAAGGCAGCCTGGTCAGTTCTTAAACAGTTACGCAGCTCAGGCTGAATCCTGCAGCTTTTCCAAACGTTTTCTTTCTTTTCTGGGGTAATAACAGGAAGATCTGTTGCTAAGCTAAGATTTATTCATTTTAACTTTCTTTGCCAGTTCTGCATGTGCACGTAGACATAGGGTTCCTAGTCATTTATAGAGTGAAGAACTATGCAACAAATCTTCTGTGTGCTTTTGGTCACTAGAGTTGTCAGCCTTTTCTCTCCGTCCCTCAGTGAACCCTGTTAGTACCTAATTTGAGTTTAGAAGTAAAACTCTTGCTTTTGATCTTTCTGTTGCTTTGCATCAGTTTTCTCAGAGCCTCGGGTAGCAGCCTCCTATCTCTCTAAGCTAGCTGGGACATTCTTCCTCCCTCTCTCATGCCTTGAAACAGCAGCTATTTTCTGTGTTCACAGATGTGACAACCCCTTACCCAGCGTGGCCAGTACGTGGCGGAGTTCAGCCCCCATCACTGTGCCGTTGCCTTCCTTGTCGAAAACACGCAGACCTTCAACAAAGTCTTCAAAGGTACCCTGATCCTTGTTGTTAGCAGCTGCTTGCAGCATGGGCAGGAACTCTTCAAAGGTAATTTTCTTGGCGTTCATCTCTGAAAAGAAAGCATCAGTTGCAGTGCTGCTAGGCATTCGAACGTTCACCTGGGATATTCACACTGAAATTTGGGAAAGCCTCCCACCTCACTTGCGTGCCCCTTTTGCCACAGGATTTGGCTGCTCTGCAGCATCTGGATTCTCTTATCGTGGGAGTTTTTGAGTCCATCTGAATTGTCACATCTTTTCTCTACTCCACTTTTCCCATGGTTTTATATAGTATGTGTGTGTTGTGTGTTTCCTTCAGAAATGAAGTGTGCTACATGAGTTGATCTTCAAAAAGATTTTGGCGATGGGGGAGCTACAGAATACGGTGAAACAGAACTCCTTTCCTACTGCTTAGGGTTTAGGGCAAGAAGAGTGAGATTCTGGGTCTTAAAGCCCCTGGGTTTTTCAACATCATGTTACTGGCCTCGTCAGGTTCTCTTAGACGTGACTTGGCACAAATATAAACAAACTAAAAATAGGATGCCCAGTGGAGGTGGTATCCAAATTTGCTATTCAACATACTCATTGTGGAGGCTTAAGGCCCTACAAGCTTAGTGCATCTTGCCCATTTGTTTTCGTGAGCCAGAAGCCGAGGTCTTCATGAGGCCTTCCCCAGATGGCAAGGCTGCCAGAAGGCTTTTTTTAATTTATTTAAATCCTTTCAAGGAGCAGCTTTCATCTGGGCAAGGATGGAATGTAGTAGGTGGAAATATAAGAGATTTTCGAGTAGGTAGTTACAGAAACTATTTTACTACCCATCTTTTTCACTAAAGATGTTGTTCAGTTATTGGTACAGTTGCTTAGAGCACCGTCTCAGCTCAGTATTAGTCTTTTGCTTAGCACTTCCCACTGATGCTAATGCTTAACTCAAGACTTATAAACTGTTCTTTAGAGCCTCTCTTTCCAGGCCTGAGGGTTTGGATATTGTTTAGCCTATCCTAATATGTACTGTTGGAATGAAACTGGGGATGTCCTGGAGTCAAGTCCTTGTTAGAAGGAGATTATCACAAAGTTAGCGTTTTTTATCTCTACAGAAGAGGAAAGGAAATATGAAGTGACAGTAAAGGTCCAGTACTAAATTGCCAATGTGTGCTGTGTGTGTCTAGGTTTGTAGCAGTTTTAAAAAGGCCATCCTGTTCAGCTAAAATAATCAGTCGGGTTTCTACTCTACTCTCAGCTAATGCAAAAGAACTGCTGCTGGAAATAGACCCTTGCTGAGCAGTCTGGGTCACAAAGAGGCTATGAGCAGTAAGAAGTGTATGTTGCTCCAAGCTGACGACAAAGTGATGTTTGCAGAGACTACTCCATAGCCTAGGGACCTAGGGATAAGGTTTTCATTTCTCTGAACGCTGTACTTCCTGCTGCCCCCATTCTCTTCAAAAGAAACTGGCAAAATTCCCCATATTGCTTCTGGAGAGCCTGCCTTGCTTCCCTATTGGAGCAATCTCCTTCCTACGTAAGTACTGATTTTTCCTAATCAGTTCCCCAGCTTGAAAAAAGGCCCAAGAGAGATAGCATGGTTCTTACCCTCTTTGCTGGGGTTGCCCAGGATCTTGTTCATCTCAGCATTTGTGGGGTTCTGTCCCAGTGCCCGAACGATGTCACCGACCTGGCTCAGGGTAATCTTGGCATCACCTGTCTTGTCAAAGAGGAGGAAGGCCTCCTTGAAGTCTGCAAAGAAAGAGCAATGGTTAGATTGAGGCAGGCGGCTACGATTTGACCATTACTGACAAAGCTGTGAGCCTGTTGTCTGCTGGTACTGTTCCAACGACTCCAGGGCAGTTAGCAGGGGAATTTTTGGCCTGCAGTTCCAAGAAAAACTCCTCTCTGACATTTGGGTTTCACTATTTTTAAACTTTTATAACTACCATTTGTAGCTTTCTTGACTCTGAAAGCCGCCGGCAGTTTTGCAATGGACCTTGTAGTTATTTCAAACACAGAGTGAAATCAGCTTTCTACGGCCCTTACCATTCAAGAACAAGTTTCTTTACTTGACATAGCAGCAGAAGATGACTGAATAATCCACTGTACTCTATCTCATCCGAAGACTGTGACTGTTCTGCCACAGTACGTAGCTGCACAAAATATCTGCCTGATTCAGTGGGTTCTGCTTGCCATTTCAGCGTCTTAACCACATGCTACTAACAGGGAACTAGAAGGTAGAGTTTAAGTGCTCCCACTTCTGCTCTGCCTTAAAGCTCCCCTACAATGATGCTTCCACCTGTGTTCATAATTGTAGAGCCATTAAGGTTGGAAATGACCATTAAGAATATCTAGTTGAACCATCAACCCATCCCCACCACGCCTGCTCAGCTCCACATCTCCACATTTCTTGAACCCTCTGCAGAAGGAGACTCCACCGTCTTCCTGGGCAGCCTGTTCCAATGCCTGACCACCCTGAGAAGAAATTTCTCCTAATATCCAACCTGAATCTCCTGGCACAATTTAAGATCTCTGTCCTATCACAAGTTATCTGGGAGAAGAGGCCAATCCCCCCACCTCGCCACAGCCTCCTTTCAGGCAGTTGCAGAGGGAGAACTGAATCATTAAGAATCATGGAGTAGAACCACAGAATAACTTATTCCCTTCTTTGTCTGCCATTTGCAGTCTGTACCCACTTCTTAAAGAAGTATGAATGTCTAGGCAATGCTTGTGTTGTTATTATGGTGCATTCCCAATGTGTACAACTTCAAGACTTTGTTTCTTCTAGTGATGCCAGGTTATCAACATTCCTTTATTCTGCCCTTGCTGCTGACCAAGTACTTTGGTGTGCTAACATTTCTCTTATAAAAATCAGTGTGGGCAGTTGCCTATCACATTGTCTATCTGCAAAGCTCCGTGTTAATCATCTTAAAAATTCTTCAAGCTTTTTAGACTACTGTCTAAACCAAGATATTAAAAAAAAAAAAAAGCAAACAAACAAAACACCCAAAAACTGAAGGCTTAGCTGAAAGGCAGTCTTTGAACCTTGTATGTCTGGAGCATCTCGGTCTGTGTGGCTACCTCTACTGAACTGCCGTGCCTGATGGTGCTGTGTTTTGACTCCAAGTGAGCCAAACGCGTGCCCTTCCCTTGGCTGTGATGGTTTCCCAGCAGCTAGAGAGGACTCTGTCTCACAGTATATGTAGGTGGAATGTCCTTTGTGCCTCAGGGCAGATTTAGGAGTAACAAACCACATTGAGAGTCATGTCCTTATTCGTCTTGTGGGAACGTATGGCACAGAGGTGCTTAGGCTCTTGCTTTAGCCATCCATAAACCACGTTACTGCAGGAGATTCTGGCATCCAGCAGAACTGCTGATACGGGATGTACAACCTGCTAGGCTGTAATCTAATACATCTGAAACTAATCTTACTGTTTGATGTGTGAGACCTATAACCCTTTACTATTAGCCCTCTCCCCTTACAGCTTTTATTGCAGGCTATGAAATCAAGGCCTTCTGGACCTGTGTGGAGCTTCCCCTTAAAATATACCAGCTTCATATCAGCTTCTGCTCTTGCAACTGAGGTCGATAGAGCTGTGCTGATTTATACTGTGCGATCAGATCTTTCATCTGGTGCATTCCTGACATTTAGCCAGAGCAAAGTATAAAACAATGCCTCTTTGTTATTAGAAAAGCCATCGGGGTTTCCCTACTTTGTAAATCCCATGAAGTTTTATGTTCACTGGGCTCTGAACGCAGCTCCCTAGCTCAGAGAAATGTTTTCTGCCTTAGGTGTGAACATCACTGCCGTATCTTTGATTACTTTTTTGTAGGTAGTCCTTGTTTATACCTCTGCTGGAGTAGGCAAGTGTAAAATCTCTCTGTAAGGAGGGCAATAACCAGCTGCTTGCATGGATGGAAATAGCAACTGAGGGTGGGTCAGCTCTGTTCCAGGGAAATTCTCCTTCTCTCAAGTGGACTTTAATTACTCTTCTGTTTACCTTAGTCACTGCAGCAAGATAGCAGCTGGATGGTCTGAAATATGGAAGGAAGCTGATAAAAATCTTTTGTCTTGTTAGATGTGTCAGTTTTGAATTGATGACATGTCTCTTCAACTCCCTGTGCTTCTGTAGAAGTTTTAAAATTGCGAAGCGGTGAGGAGTCCTGGCCACAAAGGAAAATGTTTTGCGTGTTTGGATGTCATGAAGAAGAATGGTTCCAGCCCTACTTGCTTCAGAGTATCTTTCCCTGTTGGTTTTGATGGTTTAAGATAGAACAGGCTGATTTGGGAAGCTTAGAGCTCTTTTAACCTCTGCTTCAAGTTGTTCCCTGTCCTCTGGATTTCTAGTAAATTCTTGAGTATTCCATTCCAAATAAGTTCTTCACAGTGAGAAGACTACTGTAATTGCTACTGCATTTTTGAGAGGTATTGAAGCCCACATTATTTAATATAATCCAAGTGCCTGTTTAAGGTAGTTAAAACACACGTTTAGTTTTCTAGGGCTCCAGTGGAGGTGAATTTCTGACTTGCTTCTCAGCAGTTCACCAAAAGAAATGTAAATAATGAGAGATGCTTGAGAACTGTAGTGCACTGACTAATTACATTTTGTGACAGTTCATGAGTGACTTATTTGCCAGCCACTTCCGTGCTTCATGAATATATTTAAAATAAAATAGCCTCTCTGCCCCCTCTTCCATAGCATCTCCTAGCAGAAGTGACATGTGAGCCTGCAGTGAAATGTTTTCTCTTCATATAAATGCACAGCTAAATTAAATTTTTCAGTTTCCTTTTATTTTTTATTTTTTAGTCTTCAACTGCCTCATAGCTTTAAGAAAAAAAAAAAAAAAAAGCATTTTGAGCTTGCTTATGAGCAGCCAGCCCTGCTGGAAAATGTTTAGCAGGTAGAAGTGGTAGCACCATTGTATTTCCCCTTCGCACATCAGGTCATATACTTGTCAACTTCGGTGGCATATAAGCCCCCAGATAAATAACGTGTAAATCTGAGGCCACATTGTTATTCAGTTTAATTCAGCACAGCAACTCTGAAGTCAAGAGTGTTGTGAATTATACTAGGTGAATGAAGCCCTAGCTCATCTTTTGGTAGAGTTTAAGCTTTCAAGACTGTAGCTCCTGTCTGAACTCACGTACATGTAAAGCACATCAGCTGTCTTGTAACTTACCATCCTGCTGCTCCTTGGAGAACTCGATCTGTTGGAAGGAAATCAATCACAAAAAATAGCTTAGGAAGGGGGGGCTGGGGGAGAACCTGCTTGTTTTCTAAAGCATCCAGCTCAATCCATGAGTATCTTCCAAGACAGCAAAGAAATGTGGCCTGACAGATGCACAGAAGTGATGCAGATTGCAAAAGAGCTCTTAAGACCAGTGAACGTTTAGCTTCTCAGTAGCCATTATGTTCCCCCCTCCTGCTCCCTGTTAGTTTAGTTTTTGTTTCACTTACCATTGATTTGGTCAGGTGTGAAGGACTGCAGTGGGGAAGAGAGAGAAAAAAAAAGTAGTAGTACTACTGAAAATGCACTGAGAGAAAGCAAATAGCTCAAGGTAGCTGAGTGTTCTCCTATCTGTCTTGCCTCATGTAATTCTGCCACAGAAACCCAAACTAGCAACCTGCCATGTAAAAATGCATCCCCAGGCCTGGTTTTAGGATTCTTGTAAAAACCTGCATCCCTGGGAACACCAAAGTTGAGGCCAGAAGCAATAACAATCTAAAGTTTCTTAACTAACAAACAGGCTGGTTATGTACCACCAGGTCACTTATTACTTTAGAACAGACTCACTTAAGTACAATCTTTTGAAGTAATATTTATAACTAGCAACTTTTTTTTTTTTTCACATTAACATAGAAAATAAATCACACCTTTCAAGCTTGTGTTTAAGTTAGCTTTTGACAGTACATGGTTTCATAAAGCATTAAACTACGATACATTCTTGTATTAAAAATACTGCGGAGGAAAATCAAGCAAACCTCAACTGCCATCTTCCGCCCTGTCCTCCCCCCAGAACCAACATGAACAAGAAGCTGCATTTACTCCTGTAAAATACACTGGCTCGCTGCTAATAATTAGCTTTGCAGTGGACCCACCATGATTGAGAGATGGACAAGGAGAGCGGCGGACGGGCCGGAGGGATTAGCTGAGAGGTCTCTGAGAGTGGTCCTGCTTTCCTGGCCTTTCTTCCCCTTATTTATCTGGCAGCGCTGACGGCATTGCCAGGATTAGGTGTCAGAAGGAAGCTGCCCCTCCCCTCGGTGAGTTCTTTAGCTTTCTTAGGGCAAAGTGACAGGAGGCACCGTGCCTTGATGGACATCTTACAACTATTTTTAGGAAGTTGGAGAGGGGCAGGGAGTAGCAAGCAGCAAGTTTGGATCGTGTCAGCATTTTCTGGGTCTGGACCATCAAGAGTGGATATTCCTTGTCCAGGCCTACCAAGATAGGAAAGGCTCCTATTTCTCCAGTAAGCTATGAAATCAGCAATTGAGGAGCGCTGAGGGCAAGAGGTGCCACGCGTTTGCCCAGCTGGCTTGTTTTACACGTGGCTTGCAAGTTGTGTGTTAGGTGCAGCTGGATAGCATGCTTTGGGTTTGTTTCAAAGCCCATGAAATCACTAGTACTGCTTGTTCCTTTGCTGGCTTTTCTCAAGCCCTTATTTGGATGATGTAGAGATCTGCCTTAGATGAGTGGTGCTGCTTGTCTTTTTGGTGCAATCTAGGTGTTGGCGCTGGGAAGAAGGTTCACCTGCTTGTTGAGGTGGTGTCCAATCCAAGATCTTCCACTGCGCTGCTCGTGTTTTCCAAATTTTCAAGGGTTCTAAGGGCCAATTTATGCACACGTCTGGACAGCTATATTACTAGGTTTGCAGCTGATGAGGAGGTGTACTATGCAGGGCAGTGAGGAATTTAGAACACCTTCCTTTTAGGGCTTGGCTTACGACCCTAGCATGCCAACTTCAGAGCTTACTGGTGTGATGAGAGGAGGAGTTGCTGAGGTTCAGAAATGGAAGGGTTTTTGTGGTGCAGGTATGTGGAAGAAGCTGTGATTGAAGCAAGGATGCCTGTCAAGCTTTGCGTGCTGGAAGGGGGACTAAATTGGTCATGGAGGGGAAAGACAGCAGTGGCTTTTGGGCTGCAGGGTGGTCCTGGTGGGATTACAAGTGAGAGTTTCAGGATAAGCTGGAGAAGGGGGAGGTTGTACAGTTTCTCCAGTAGCAAAGGCCTATTCCTATAACACGACACTTTCCAAGCCTGGCTCACATCTCTGAATTGATGCAATGAAAAGTAAAAGAATGAGGGAAAACTGCTCCAAACTTTTGCTTCCTTTCTGTCACTCCAACTGGATGAGGAGGTTCATGGAGCAGGGATGGGAAGATTGTACTACAGCAAGAGACTCCATTCTTACAAGCCAGTACTCTTAACATCCATTCTCCTTTGCTTTGCACTTGCCACTCCTTTTTTTCAAATGATAAAATGCGATGGGTGAAAAACTTTCTCCTGTTGCTCATTTAGTTAACCTGGAGATAAGCTTAACTGTTTCAGCTTTTTTCAGTATGAAAAGGAAATGATCAAATCCAACCAGACTTAATATTTTTTTTAAAGATTGAACAATCAAGATAGGTCAAAATAATTAGTGCTACTTGAAACTTTAACTTCTTACTTCCCCTCTTCAAATCTAAAGGTACAACTGCAAAGAATTTTCTGAGCTCCGCATTTTTGTTTGAAGATGTTTTGTCCGAATGGGTTATTTGCATTTTGGGGGAATTCCTTGGAAAGCATACAGAGCCCGAAAAATACTCTGCTGCCAGTTCTTCTTTTGCTTGTTCTGCTACTTGTGATCTGTTATCATATGGGAATGGAGACGTAGTCAGGGCAGGGCACAGCCATGGGGTTACACAGAAAAGGGATTTGATGTTTTTGTCTCATTTAGCCCGCATCGATTTAGCACAGTTCAGATCTCCTAATTAAAACCGGCTGGGGCACGAGCACAGGCAGTGAGAAAGCTAATATAGACCTTGGCCATCAGTCCCAATGCATTAATAGAGGAGCTCTCCAAAGACTTTGGCAGAGCTGAAATGTTGCCTGGGTCAAAGTAGCGTGTTGCCTTTTGTGGAATTTTCCTCCTGCCCTCAGCCTCTTGCTCTGCAGTGCTGGAGGCTGGAAAAGTTTTCCCTGGAAACACGATTGAATTTTTGCTCAAGGAAAATTTTCCTGAATATCTTCTAGATTCTAGATCCAGCCTATTACTGGCTACAACAAAACCCATTCCAAAAGGTTTTAAATGCCAACAAGAAAATAATTGGGGTGCGTTTGTCTTGAGCAGAGAAAACTGATACCTGGATTAGCCAGCCACCTGGCTTCAGTGGGCTATCAAGTAAGTATAAATTGAGAGGGTTATCCATATAAGCAGGCACTACAGCACTCTTGACTGTATGAGACTTTGACTCAGGTTTTACAAGAGGAGATACTTGTGCACCGTATCAACCCTTTGTTTTGTCGTTGGTTCTTGAATAAAAGTGCCCTAGACGTTGTTTCACTGGAGAGAAGTTATCGATCATGGGCACATTTCAATTAACAAGCTCTCAGCCTACAGGGTTTGGTGGGGGCTTTAAAATGCTTTTTGTTTTAAATGTGATGAGTCTCAGGGCCTTAGGAAGAAGGTGAAATTTCAGGGAGTTTAGTGTGGTGTGGGTGTTTTTAAATAAAATGTAAATAGAACTAACACAAATGCCATCCCCCAAAACCTCTGGCAAAAATAATAATGGAGTGAGGGAACTGCAATATATGGAAAGACCAGTAGGAGCTGTATTTGTCAAACACGGCTCCACCCTTACTTACAGATGAGGTTATCCTCCAGGAGGAGGACAGCTATAGCAAGGAGAAGTGCTGTTTTTTTTCTGACTTATTTTTTTTTATCATTTTATTTTTGGTTGGGGCATTTGACTATGTAGTTTGTGACCATCTTCTATTCTTCTAATTGCTAATGGAACGCGTTCTGACCAGATCCCAGTTATCCAGAGAAGGGTGGACAGGGGCTCTTCATCACCAGATAAGCAGAAGACCCAATCCACACAAACTTGTGTGCTGTGCCCACCTATTTGGACTGGAGGGCACTGCAAGCACAGCTGTGCTGAGGGACGGCCACTTTGTGCTTTTTGCAAGTATCTGGGCAAGGTGAAAGACACCAGGGAAAGATGCTGCTTGGAGTTAAAGCAGCTCCATCTGCTTGCTGCTCTTTGGCTGAGTTACAGAGAAGAGAATTGTAGCTAGGTTTGGATTAGGGAGCCACCAGGTAATTCATGGTAATGATTCTGTAGGAGAGATTGAGAACTTTTCAGATGTCTGAAAATCAGAGAGGGAAAGATCAGGCAATCGCTGAGGATTTTTGGTATATATTTAGCTGTTCATCCCGACCTCAAGGGATTTCTTTTATTTCTGGGTGGATGTAGCTGGGGTTGTGCCCGTGTATGCTCACTGCTAATGCCTCCTCCTTGGTTAATACAGCTGCACATGTTTTCTAACAGACGTGATCGAGTGCACGATTACACAGCTCTCCAACCCATCCATAAAGCAGGCTGCTGACCCTCACTCTGGTTCAGTAGCTGGTGTGATGGATGCTGTGGATTTCAGAGGCTATTTTTCATTTAAGTAAAAATCAGCAGCCTGATGGATTTAGCCTCATGTCTTTTATAAGACGGAGAAACACCATGAGGGGGTGAGCATTGAGAAAGAGCTCTTTTTTGAGAATGAAACTGCCAAGGAATGTAATAGGAGAAACAGTAAGGATGAACACTGCTAATGTATGGAAGAGAAATATGAGATGCCGCGAGGCTTGGAAGAACAGCTCTAAATCTTTTAGCTAAATGGGTTTTATAGTGATAATTTTTTTCCCCTCTAAGCACTCTTTGTAACTTTGTGCCTTGCTTACTTGAAAGTTTGCGACTTTACAGTTAGGCAAAAACTTTTAGATAAACCTTGGCAATTAATTAATGTACCCTTTTGAAATGCCTGAGTGTGAAACGCATCGCAGCTGCTGATCATAGCATTTTGCACAGGCTTTATTGGCTTCACAGTGGGAAGGACAGTCGGCTGTGCTCGCTTGTTAGTGTGTCTCTTTTCTAATTGCATTTACTTGTGCGTGAATGTGTGTAATCGAGGGGATGTGCGAGGAAATGCGAGGCTCTGGAGCTCGACGCTGCTC